CATTCTTGTGACATAACAACATTAATGGCGTCCCCTTTGGCTGAGCTGTATCGTAAGCTAGCTAAGAGGTGCTAAATGAGCCAGCTATAGATGCACGCTTCCTGAAGGTCAGTGGAAAGAAAATAGTTAGTACATGAAACTGCTCACAACAAGGTCTGTGGATTATCTTGATTAACCAGGTCATGATTTCTGGAAAGAGACGTCGCTGTTGAGTTTTTCCAAATGTGTTTTTTGGCACTTTGAGCACCACAAGCTGAGTGCCATTTAGTTCCATTATATTAGAGAGTAGGCAGACATCGCCAAGGCCGATAACCCCAACATTCTGCAACTCACAACAAAACTATCTAGACTGATAAATAGCACTACAGGGAAGAGGAAAAATATGTAGTTTCAATTTGGGGGTGAACTGCCCCTTTAAAGTAGCTTGACACAAATATAATCGACAACTATTTTGATAATCAAATGATTTTTGTGCAAAATTGTCAATTAAAAAAAACGTTTTAGCCTCTCAATTTTGAAGATTTCCTGCTTTTCTGTCTAGTATCGTATCAATCTGACTGTCTTTGGGTTTTGGACTGCAGCCCTACATTACAGCAACAGTGAAACATCCAGAAACACATAGACATAAACAGCACCAACTGCACACCTACGTACCTGTACTCTCTTCTCCAACACAGCAGCCCATTCCACAATGAAATCACGACACACACTGGCCGGCCAGATGTCCTCACTAGTCCAGATGTGGCCGAGGATGTTTGACCTCTGGGGTGAAGATTTACAGTACATAATACAGGTGAGATGTACTGTAAATGCATGTTTGTCTGTGACAGACAGAGAGCACAGAGGAGGAAAAGAGCTCACCTGGCAAATTTTGTTGAGCTCACGGGCCAGTTCCATGATAAATAACTGACTCTCTACCAGTGGCTCCTTTTTCTCAAGTTTCACTTTCTTACGGGACTCCTGGAGCAAAGAAACAGAAGATAAAAAGGTTAGGAAAAAATACAACTTGGAGTACGTTATTGAGCAAGGTGTACAAATTCTGGGCTTGCAACACATTGTGCCGAAAAGAGTCATATAACCATACCTTGAGTCGGATCTTGAGCTTTTTGGCCGGCTCGATAAGGAACTGCAGGCAGTCCTTCATCATGCTGGCAGAGAGAGAGAGAGGCAGATGCCCTGTGGTACAATAATAAAAAGCTTTAGTACACTGGCACACACTCTGTCAGGAGCTGGAGCTGAAGTGCAGCTGACTGGGCTCGCGTCGCCCACACAAATCGATGAGAGAGCAGAAAGCGGTAATTTATGAGAGGTGGCAAAAGGTATATATGCGTGTAAGGAGAGAGAGAGAAGCACTGCAGAACTTTCATCACAGCTCTGCACTACGAGTCCACAGAGAGCTCATTATTAGGCACTCTGAGCTATCATTAGGCAAGGAAGAGGAGGGAAAAGAGGACCCACGCACTGAGCGAAAAGAGACAGCCCACCCACTCAGAACACACACAAAACCACAAAGTGAGAGGCACATTGTAGAAACAGGCAGAAAATATTGCACAGTAACAGGATTTCCTGGCGTGTGTGGGTCGATGCATCTTGATCATGGCCTTGAAATTGGAAATTTATTCCCAAGGAGATCTGAGACAGCAGCGCAGAGCACTTTTAAAACACTGCGGAGGGTGCGGGGGAGTGTTGGACCAGTTTGCTGTTGATTCAGCAGTCCACCCCTGTATGCCAGTTTGATGCGCTGAGGGGATTTGCTGTGCTTTCTGTGATGTATTGTGGCAGCTGAGCCAAAAGATGCTGCTATTGGCTTTTCCAAGGAATTAAGAGAATGTATGGTACTGAGAATTTGGAGACTCTGACACAGAAAATACATCCAACTGAAGGACTAACAGCCAGGGCTGAAAGTTTACCTTTTAGTGAGTGGTATTAGACTAATCTGTGAGGAGAGATGATACATAAATGAATGCTTTATTACATTTTGTAGATATGTCCCCTATGATGATGATCACTAAGTACATAAGGGCACACTGTGGTGAACCTTTCCACATAACTGAATAAGCCTGAGATAGTTTTGTGTCAATACAAACAGTGCACTGAGGCCATGGCACGTGCTGGAAAGGAACAAACATATGGAGCTGTGCCACTCAGCCTGTTAACTAATTAAACAGATACACTATACCTCAGTTTGAATTACATTTCAGAGTAAACAAGGTTGGAAATATTCCATGACACGACCTATCCATCAGACTGTGGAGACAATACTCACTCCTGGTTAGATAGGGGGTGTATTTTTGGCAGTGAGAGGAGAGCATGTAGGAGGCAGAGGAGCTGTGTGTGGTGGAGAGGAGCTGAAGATTAGAGGAAATCCAGGATTACCTCCGCGGCTATTGCTGTGCAAACCAAGGTAGTGACTTTCTATATTAGGACTGACAGACCAACCTCTGCCTGCAAGTCAGCATCAAAACAAACACACTATATTAGCCTGCAACATATAGGCCTACACATACATAACAACGGGCACAAAATAGGAACATATATATTATTTTATGATACCTAAATGAATGTTAAAAATATTTACATAGGCTACTTTTGGGATTAGCCTCGGTTGTCTAAAAATATATAATTTTCAAATGTTTATGCTACAAAATAAAGATGAACAAATAAGCTGCCGTCGTGGGCATGAGGCTGCTCTCCAACAATTACTATCAGGCTAATTATTTTATTTAATTACGCCCTGCGGCGCGTTTCTCTGCCAAATTTTGACGTGTTTTTGAAAGAAAGTTAAAGTCTGACCTTGTTACGGGAGAATTTTCCTTTCCGCAGATAATTTTGCGCTGCTCCTCTGTGATGTTTTCGCCAAACACGGATTCATTTAGTGCTCGGAGATCCTTCAGAGATGCAGCACACTTCAACTGCGGCACGAGAGATACTGAGCGCGCGCTCTTATCTGCCTCCGCCTCCACTGAGCTGCAGTTTGAGAGAAGTACCGCGAGAGGTCGCCATAGCTGCACTGAAACTGACGAGAACACGGGTATCTTCTACCAGGTAATCTCACTGTCTGTCTCTTGGGTCTTCTTTTGGTTTATTTGACTAAATTAAACACTTTACAAGTTAAATATTTAAAGCACCATTAGCCATTTTAAAATGCTTACGTTATCTCGTGCTGTGGCGGTGCTGTTTCAGACATATTAAGCCATAAATAATTAGCTACAAGAAGAAGTAAGTGGGTCATGTAAAATTGAATGAATCTCTTCAAGGGGCAATGCATTGACTGTCAGTATCTGTAGGGGAGACCGGGGTTGGTTGGCACACTTTTCACTCTTTCTATTGTACATTTATGATATTTGCAAAATGTCTAAAATGATCAAATGTGTTTTGTTTGCAGATAATACGAATGTATTTAGCTCTTGTCAAGATATAGAGCAGCATCTGGAGACCGTGGAAACAGAATTGAAAACATTGGCTTGATATTAGTAAGTTGTTGTTAAGTTTATTTATTTGCACTCTTTAGACTCTTTGATATTCTGTATTTTTTTGTTGGAGCAAAATTACCACAGTGGTGAATTTATTTATACAAAACAGACAAAAAAAATGTATATACACAAACAAATATGTAAAGAACAAAGCAAACCAAAAATTACTTACCCTGAAAGTAACATAATTATCAATTGTTGTATGGGAAATCTGTTGAATGTGAAATTGATGAAATAAATCAATAAATTAATAAATAATAATATTTATAACAATAATGATAATAATATTATAACAACAATAATTATGATGATGATGATAATGATTATAATAATTCATATATTGAAAAATAATTAATGAATATGTGATGAAAAGGGAGTGACGAAAAATGAATAGAAATAAAGTAAATTAATAAATATTCAGCTGTTGTAGTATAAGGTTGGGAGGGTCCAGCAGATGTTGAGGGCTGGCGACTCTATACTTGAGGTATGTGTAGGTGTGTGTAGGTGGAGGCAGTGGTATCACTGGCAGTAGGGGGAACTCGTGTGTTGAAAAAACTAAGATTAGAACAAATGCAAAACAAAGATGGGTGAAAGGAGTTAATTTGTGGAATCATTTTTCAAAGGAAATGAAAATGTGTAACATCCTTGACAGATCTAAAAATTATATATTTTAAAAAAACATGATTAACAAATATAAAACAGAGTTATGAACACCAGTGTGTGTATATGAATATTTGTCTGGAACTTAAGGGTACAGCACAAAACTCTCAATGTATGAAGGGTAGGTGCAATAACCTAAGGCTTCAGCCTACACCTATTTGATCAGAATAAATTGCTCTGGATTGTCACTGCTTCAAAAAGTAACGACTTGTTATTTTTATTGTTGTTATCATTTTTTCTGTGTGGAGCTATATGTAGTAAACTAAAATAAACTCTGCTCCCCTGACATAATTTGTCAGAATATTTTAACTAGTAAATAAAAAATACACCCCCTATCTAACCAGTAAATAAAAGGTTATGGTCTCAGCTATAAATAAATATATTTTAATGTCTACAAATGGTTTCTAAAATGAGGTGAAATGCTGTGTATTTGTGCCAACCAACAGATCTGAATATTAATTCAAACAAAAAACAGAAAACATGAACATTAAATAGAATATCTGTGACCTTTAAATGGACAGAAAACCGCCAGTGTACCAACCAACCCCGGTCTCCCCTAAAGATGTAGCTGTGTTTGCCTACTTTTTTCCTTTCTTTAAATAGGCCTACCTATTCAACAACCCTTGTGTTATTTCAAACAGGTAGGCCTAAAAAGCCTCACACTGCAGCAAAGCAATGCTCTCGTTTACCTGTTTTCAAAATCTAAAATAAAATAATGGAAATTAAAGCTCGCGAATTTGAAAGTAAGGTTTCAGTCTTCACCTCACACTGTGTCATTGAAGGCACCACGACCGTTTATATTGTTGGAAGCAGAACAGCAGATGTCACTACAGCCAATAAACACGTCATATCTTACTGTATTTCATTTCGAGGCACAGAGAGCGTCTATAAGCTCCTGGGTCCAGGTATCACTGGATAATAATTCATTTGTAACCGGTATCCCCGACAGGTGATCATTTCATTGTATGCGTCTGTTCCAAAGACACACTATATGACACGGTGTTAAATCCAGCTGTCCACCCTCCGTGTCTCGTGTCTGTGCTGGCTTCTGAGTGATGGGAAGGTGCCTCGGTATGTAAGGTAGCCTACACGGAAGTGTAATTACAGCGCGTGTCGCTGTGCGTAAATGACAGGAGATTTTATGTATCTGTTGGCAACGACCACAGCTGGTCCCCAGACATGGCACCAAAAGACCCTCTGCTTGCCACCCTCAAAGGTAAGGAAGGATACATGCAAACATAACGCAAACGTACTGTTTTTGGATTCATTACAGCTGATCGATTAGTCCAGCTTTGCGCGCACCAAAACAAATAACTGTCTTGATCATTTGAGTTTTACCTCCGATGCACAAAATATTTTTAACAGGGCATACGTCAGTCGGTTTGTCTCCTGCACAGCCCCTCCTGTGAGGGTGCTAATGTGTGAAATGTTGATGATCACGCACGCAGATTGCATGAAAAACGTGTATTTTTGGCCACAGTCACGCGGAGCGACAACAGATCCACAGTGAAATGCGTGTTTTTGTCCCTCCCAGTGTGTGTGCTGAACCTACAGTCACATGGAGAGACGGTGTCAGACTCCAACCCTCACCTCGCCTCCTGCTGTGAGCTTCTTGAGCTGGTCCTCAGGAAGGGGCTCCAACGTCAGTATCCCTATATGTGCAAAATACCATATTTGTGTATTTGTAATGATCTTAACCTGGGCTACATAGTGCTGAGAGTTGCTATATTGCAAATTGTATACCTGGCATACGTATTTCAGGATGTCAGTTTATGCTTCAAGTGGTTGTAATGGTATACAAGCACAATATTTGGGTACGTAGTTTGATGTATTGTGAATATGTTAATAATAAATCATCTGAAGCACTACATGTGAAATAGGTTTTTGCAGTAAGAACTGAGTGTGTGTCCTCTCTCCAGAGCCAGTTCTCAGTCTGGTACAAAGAGACTACTGGCACTGTTTTGAACAGCTTATCCACCAAGATGCCTGCGGCAGGTAACAACACCTTGCTTAGATTATAGGATTTTCAACACTCATAACTTTACACTATAACAGTTATTACTCCAATGGAAATGTCACAGTTTCCAGGCGCGGAGCAGGGAGGTGGCCTCTGGGGCTCTGGCCCCAACTGTTTTCTCAAAAGCCCTAAATCTATGCTGTTCCCCGCAGAAACCTCTGTCTGCCTCATATTCAATTCAGAGGCGAAAACCACATTTACTCGGCATTGTCGGGGTCCTTGATTAGCAATTAGAGCAGCCCAGATTATTATGGGATGGATATTTAACCCTTTATGACCTGAGCATGGCTTTATTTCTTTCAAAAAACATGGGAAGAAGGCACTGAGCAATGAAAGACAAAATGACCCAAAAAAAAGAAAAAATCAGCAAGAAATTAGTAAAAAGAAAAAATTGAAAACAAGAAAATTTAGACAAAGAATAAAATTTAAAAAATACAATGAATAGACTAAAGAATAAAATAAATATAAACAAATAAAATAAATCAAAAAGAATAATGACAAACAAGGAAATCAAGGAAATAACCAAGAGAGAATTCTAGAAAATTATAATACTGTAACATAATTTTAAAATATATTAATATATTATAATTGGTGTTGTTTTCCCATAACTTTCTCTTTTTCCCTATTTTTTAAATCTAAATATTTTCCAAATCTACTTATTTTGATAGTTATTATTATTTTGTAACTATTATTATTATTGTTATAATTTGTAGTGATATATATTTTTTGTTTTGTATTGTTGTTTTTTTGCAATTTGTGGGACATTTCTTACCAAGTTGCTACTACCGTGTTTTTGAAAAAAAAAAAAAAAAAAAAAAAACCACACCAATTTGCTCAGGTTTCAAAGGCAGCTTTTTCAATAAAAAAGCTCGATTTTGATGCTTTTTCATGCTCTCTGACACCTTATTTATATTCAAAGCACAACAAATTCCATTGTGAATTAATTTCTTTTCATTGTGAAGTAGAAAATGGTCAGTGGGCCACCCTGCATCTGGCCCATGGGCCGTAAGTCGAGTATCACTGCTCTACAAGATGAGTTTTTATTCTGCAACTATCATGTTTCTCCCAAATGATGCATTCTATTATCTCAAATGCCTTAAAAAACAGTGCATATAGCAGCCTCTCTAGGTTTGGGCTGAGCCCCCAGTGAGCCCCTGACTTTCTCAACCCTTGTTAATACCTGTTTTCTGTGCTGATGTGCTTGTGTGTAGGCTGTCCGCCCTGTCCTTGGTGGTGGAGCAGACCAGAGTTTGCAAAAAGCTGCTCTCAGCTCAGGGCCGAGGCCGCTACCTGCTCAGATTGGCCCTCAGTCGCAAGACGTTACCACAGTTCATCACACATCTGCTGCACACACCCAGAATCCTTGAGGTCGGATACATGGACCAAATTCATTCTCTATGACACATGATGCTTTTTCTGGTTATGCTTGTGTATGTCTTTTCCTGGCACTGTTAGGTGCTCTGGGCAAAGTGTCCACCAAATATGTCCATTGCTGAGTCTCACTAATAGACTAAAACAGCTTTTGTTCATACTGTTTCTCCTCCCTCCAGTGGTACAGTCCGACAATGTCAATCCTCAGGAATGAGGAATTTGTGGGTGAGGCTTTTTACTTGATCAGATTGTTTCCACCAAACACTGAGCAAAGACAAGGAAACTCTTGTCACCACTGGCACTCATTGTAAAACATAAACAACACTGTTTTCTCTCTTCCAGAGCCTTTCATGTCGTTGCTACTGGTCCTCTCTCACATGGAGTTTAAACTCAACATGGAGGTCAGTTCAGCTCCTTTATCTACACCTTTATTTAGTCAACTGTTCTTTCAAACCACTTTAAATTCAAATGGCTCCATACTAACCACCTCTTGTCTCCTTTCACAGAATTGCAGTTTTCTGGATGAGAGTTGGCTCCTTCCGGTAAAAAACAGTGATTATTGTTTGGTAACTCACAGCATCATAATGTTAGTATGGTTTTGGTGGTCATGGTAACTTTAAGATCCCTGGAAAGCCATTAAAGAAATCTCACAAGCAGGACACATTGCAGTGAGATAATGGAAATTGGACTCCCTCTGTTAATTGTCTGTATATGTTTCTAGGTGTGTGAGACATATGAAGTAGTGCCCTGTCGGGAAGTAGGGTTGGTGTTGAGGTTTGTGTCTTACACTCTACAACGTACCTCTTTTCCATCAAGTATAAATGGACCTGTTCAACCTACTGCATCATCTCCCACTTCTGCCTGTCTCTCAGGTATCTCCATGGGCGTGTCTTCGTCCTCGAACTGACACCTGGTAGTCAGGCTCATGTCGACAAGTTTATCTGCCCTGGTGACATCATTGATGAGATCAATGGGACCTCACTGAGGAATTCCAAGAATGGACAGGTATCCTAAAACATGCAGTTATAGAGAGCTGTGGCAGGAGGCATTATGTTTTTGAAATGTCCGTCTGTCTGTCTGCATGTCTATCCCATTTGCAATCTCCTTAAAGAATTCCAATTTCTGAAAATTTGGCACAAATGTCAACTTGGACTCAACGATGAACTGATTTTGGTGGTTAAAGGTCAAGGTCACTGTAACCTCGGATCCGTCTCATTCTCGTGAATGCAATATCTCAGGAACACGTGGAGGGAATTTCTTCAAATTTGGCACAAATGTCCACTTGGACTTGAGGATGCGGTCTGTCTATCTGCATGTCCATCTCATTTGCAATGTCCTTAAAGAATGCCTTGAGGCAGTTTCTTAAAATTTGGCACAAATGTCAACTTGGACTCAATAATGAACTGATTTTGGTGGTTAAAGGTCAAGGTCACTGTAACCACACATCTATCCCATTCTCGTGAATGCAATGTCTCAGGAACGTATGGAGGTAATGTCTTCAAATTTGGCACAAACGTCCACTTGGACTTGAGGTTGAACTGATTAGATTTTAATGGTCATGGGTTAAAGGTCACTGTCACCACCCAAAACATGTTTGGTGCCATAACTCAAGAATTCACATGCTAATTATGACAAAATTTCACACTAATTTCTAAAAAGATAAAATGATTAAGCGACGACAAAAGGTCAGCTTCACTGTGTTTACGATGTTCTGCAGAAACTCTTTGCTGACCATTATAAAACGCCATAACTCAGGAACATAAGGCGAGACATTTGGTCAGATAGAGAAATGGTAACTCTAATCTTTGGTGTCTGAAACTTGAAACTGTGCCGATTGTATAGATGTTTGCTACTTGGTTGAAGATGTATGTGTGTGTGAAGCATCCATCTTTTTGAATTTGTAGCTTCTTTGCAGCAACATCCACGTTTGAAGCATTGTCTACTGTCCTACAAATGAGTCTGGACAGACCTGGATGTAACTGTCTTGACAAGGTTTGTCCTAGGTTTTTTTTAATTTTTGTATAGAATAATGCAGGTATCTGAGCATCCCACATTTGATCCCTCACAGATAATACAAGACTGTGCTCGCAATGAACTGACGTGATTAGACCTCTTCTCAGAACTTTATTGGTGTGTACTGACTGCTTGATAGACACCTCCCTGAATCTACTGTTGGTTTTGTGGCACCAGTTAGGGTGGGACAACTTACACTTTATCATTTTTTTTTATTACATGTAATTTGCACTGTGACATTGCGCAATTCCCAGCACAGCCACTCCCAACCTGAGCAGAACTCTAATCAGTCAGAAAAACTGAAAACGCCTTTGTGGGTGTGAAGGACTCTTTTGTTAACCTGGTGAACATGATTCCATGTATTTTACTAGAAGGAGTGCAATGCTGAAAGAAAACATCAACAAGAAGAAATAAATCACCTGTTGTGAAATTCTTATGTTTTCTGGCAAAAATATAGAATTCAACGCAATACTTCACCCCCAAATTACCATCTGTAAATCAATTACTCCCTGTGTTAGACTGAATTTGTAAAGAAAACTTTGTCATTCTTGCATGCCTCCGATGAACAAAGAATCCAAAAACTGAGAAATTTTTGATAAAAAGAAGTCATGTGGGTCCGCCTTTAACACTAGCTAAACTATATTTTTAAAAAATCCATTTAAATATTCTCACACAGCTCGTGCAGTGTTATCCAAGTGGGGTGACATGCTGCAGAGAGATGTGGGTGGGAATTGAGCCCACTGCCACCACAGCAAGGCCACAACCTTTGCACATGGGGCACCTGCTCTACCAGGTGAGCTAGTGAGCGCCCCAGTATGTACACGTCCTGTGTGTATTGTCCCAGTGATGGAACCAATGAGACACAGGGTAGACACGCCCTTGACAAACCCTTTAAGCATTTTCATCACTTTGAAAAACCTGCCGCTCTCAAAACAATGTTCACGCATACTACTGGACAAATCGTAAAAGTTGTTGTACGTAGAGTTACAGTACATTCTCTGTTTTTTTCCCAGGCAGGTGTCGTTCTGTCTCGTCTGAAGGGCTGCCCTCTGTCCATCAGCGTTCTGCGGTGGAGGGCTCAGGATGGGACAGTGTATCGGCCCATTATCAAGCTCCTGCGGGCCCTGACGACGGAGAACCCCACCCTGCAGCTTGGTCCTGCTCCCTCCCAGCAGTCAGCCAACAAAGACCAGAGAAACTCTCCGTCACAGTGTCTCAAAGAGGGAAGGCAAGTTGGTTACCGAATTCTCAATGATGATTTCAGGCACATTTTGTTAAGTGTGCCCTTGACATTAAAACACTGACACACCTCTCTTCCACAGGATTGTGTACATTGTGCAGTATTTGGGAAAAGCAAGCATTGGAACGGTAAATAATTACTATTGTTTAATATTTAATATGCGTTCAGTCTTTGTGTATATATGCGTTAAGCCCTGTTTACACCTGGTATTACCATGTGTCTCGGTGAATTGATCAGGGTGGACAGCTCTAAATCTGTTCAAACCTAGCATTACAATGCATCTCCATATGCATCACAAGTGGCCACTTGTGATCAGATCTCACATTCTTGCTGTATATGAAAATAAAACATACACCATTTATGTTTGCAAAGACCAAATGTGTTGTTTTTAACTGGCAGGAGGCAGCACTGCACTTACTGCGCCTGCAATGCCAGGAGTTAGAAGAAGAAAAACAAGAAGTAGTTTGCAAAGGCCTTGGCATGCAGGCAGAATCGAAACAGTTTCTTACAACGTGAATGTATAAATAAGTCCCTTTTTATCGACCAATCACACTGACGTGACACGTACAACAACAATCACTGAGGTAGAACTGCCAATTGATATGAGTTACGGAGATAAGTGAAGTTGGCATGGTTTTTTCCTGTTGTCATTTTTTGTAGGTGGAAAGTAGTGAGACTGTGCTGTGATTGGCTTACAGCTCACTTGCAGCGGTTAGTGCATGGAGATCATAGTTAGGGCTAGTACTAGCCAATCACAGCACAGCAGGATAGACATAAAAAAAATAGTGGGATTCATAATGATGTGCGTCTCAAAATCCACCGAGGACACATTGGGCTCATTCACACATGTAGCTGTCCACCTGTGATCAGACCAAGATGCATGTAAGTAGCAGGTGTAAACAGGGACTTAGTCTTTACTCTGTTAGTACTGATAACTTGTCTTATCCTCTTTTAGTTTGGGGGCAAGGAGGTGTTACAGCAGGGCATTAAAGAAGTATTGCAGAAAAACCTGCCTAGCAAGGTAATGACACTGCTCTACTGCCTCGGGGCACGTTGGTCTCTGTCATCTCTGCAAGGTGTTTGTCAACATCAACATGCACTCAGTGTGTTTTGTCTCGCAGGAAGTGCTCTTAGATATGAAGGAGACGCATTTGACATGCACAGATAGAAACAGTAAACAGGTGAGTAACACCATATGATATCTGTCAAAATTAGTGTTTATGTACCTCTTTGCTCGTGTTTTTCTGGCAGCATTTACATTCTTTTGAAATGTTTTCACCAGGAGCTGTTTGAGCATCACTATCCAGAGATTTCATGTGTAGGAAGATATGGTCAACCAGACTACACAGTATTTGCATTCTGTGTGGCGTAAGTATTAAATTTACCTACTAAACCTACTATGCAAGTGATTTAAAAAGAAGAAAAGCATACACTATATATGCAAGTGTTTTCCACACTTGCCTCCATAGAGACATGATGCAATACCCAGACCATTATATCGGTTGTCATTGGCTGGACCCATATGTTATCTAAGCATGTGATTGGCTCTGTTCACAGAGACTCCCCAGAAACCCCTGAGTCAACAGGCTTCTGCTGTGTGGCACTAAGAGCCAGCAGCATCAAGGAGTGTGAAGAGGTTGTCTGCCGTATTGGTGAGGCATAGCAGTTAGTGTGCATTTCATAATTTTATGATAACTATATAATAATTTTAAAACCCATGTGTTCTTCTTGCAGCTACTGGTTTCAAGCATACTGAATGGTTTGTATGACAACCCAGTGGCCAACTGTTCATTTGTAAATAAAATGTCAACTGTGTTTAAAGATCATGTAAACACTGTATTACTGACTGAATACAACTACACAACACAAAGCATTCTACTCATAAAGACCTTTAATAGAAAGACATGTGACAACATTTTCATAAATAGTATTAAATGTAGCTGCCAAGATTTTATGTCGAAAAACACGTAAAAAGCAGTCCAGAAAAATATGGGAGGGGTCTGCCATGCTCCCAGTCATTGAGTGCAGAGCATCAACTGTAGCAGATAATACCCTGACACTGCAGTGAGATCAGCTGAGCAAGACATGCTGGCATATTTGTGAGAAGTGGTAGATGAGTGATGAGACCCTGGACCCCTGCGGAAGATGTGAAGAATGCATCCTCGCTTCAAAAGACAACTCCATTCCCAGAGGGAGTCTGATACCCACAACTTAAGGTGGTATTATGGCTGACACATGTAATGACCCATGATAAAATAAAAAGTAGATAAACCTACTGCACAACATTCCATACTATCCTAGGTGTACTCAGGCTTGTGGAATGATTGATGGCATTGTCCCAGTCTAAAATACAAAAATTCAAAAGAATTAAAAAAAAAATACCCAAGAAATAAAAAGTCCACAAAAATGGTTAAGTACGATAAATAGGATCATTTGTCTTGACATTGCTGCCGCCAGCTGCTTAGGCCCTCTCTCCCCTTATCCTGCGAGCCAGCTGGATGTCTTTGGGCATGATGGTGACACGTTTGGCGTGGATGGCGCACAAGTTGGTGTCTTCAAACAGACCCACCAGGTAAGCCTCACTGGCCTCCTGTTAAGAAAACAAAAAAAGACTTTAGAGGCAAACCAAATACCCTTTATTTGTCCCACTGGTACTCAAGACTTCACTGGGACTAATTCCATGTGGTATTTACCTGAAGAGCGCCAATGGCAGCACTCTGGAAACGCAGGTCAGTCTTGAAATCCTGTGCAATTTCTCTGACCAGACGCTGGAAGGGCAGCTTGCGGATGAGCAGCTCAGTGGACTTTTGATAACGACGGATCTCCCTCAGAGCCACGGTTCCAGGCCTAATCAAAAACAATTTTAGTGCCATTATTCAAAACTGAATGACTGGTTGTATCAAGGTATAGGTTAGATTAAGGACTATAAGGCATAGTGTAAAAATCAAATACTTCACCTGTAACGATGGGGCTTCTTCACTCCTCCCGTGGACGGAGCGCTCTTCCTGGCTGCCTTGGTGGCGAGCTGCTTCCTTGGCGCCTTTCCTCCAGTAGATTTACGGGCAGTCTGCTTGGTACGGGCCATCTTGCTACAAACAGGACAACAACGAGTTGTATTAACTGCCTAAGAACGAGTTTCGCTACTTAACGTGGTAGTGCCAAATCATACAGACCTGGTTTTATTTACCAAGCTAACGTGCTAACCCAGACTAGCGTACAAGCTAATACAGCTAGCATATAAGCTAAAGCAGCGCCCCTCCCCCCAGGTTCCAACCACTGGGAGGCGTCTGGTTCGCTCCGGTAACGCTACGCTCCATCAACGCTAGACCCGACTACCAAACAAGGCCTAAAAATGTATATTAAAAACAGACTACAAGTTGTTATCAGGCAAGTTTAATTGACGTTGATACAATCAGTGCTGTGCTATGCTAATAAAAACAACAATTTCAAAAGTTTATGGTCCCACAGCGACCAACAACAACGGCGTCAAAACAGTCTCAGCCCAGCCACTCAGTCTTTCCTTTTCGACTTCGCCATTTTCACAGTTTCTCATTTCACCCCCAGTCGACATTGCCTCGATCCTGATCAGGCGACATTAGCTTACATTACATTACATTACATTATTAGCTTAGCTAACAGCAATTTTTAGCCAACATTAATATTTTTGGTTAATTCCAACTAAGCCAATGTGATCGCTAGGGTCTAGTTTCACTTAAAAGACCTAATGTTAACCGGTGACGTTGAACCAGAAACCGTAAGAGACTCCATTGTTCTATTTTTAGCTAATGCTAACGTTAGCAAGCCGCCATGTTAGCCTGTTTGTCAAACAATGACTGTAAACGGAAACTCGATCCGTGAATACATAGTAAATTATGGGAATCGATTTCACGTATATTGCCTAACGTTAAACAGCAAGGCAGTGATATTTACCTTTAGGACGTCGGTTGGGTCAAGGCAGGAGCCGTCAGTGATAGTCTTCCGTTGGTGACCGCGGAAAATGAAAAACGGTGTGTGTCGGAAGAGGGGGTTGAGGCCGAGTATATATACTTTATCGTGACGTCATTCTTGTGAAATACGACACGCTCATTGGTTCACCTTCAAAGCTGATGTCAAGGCAGATGCAACAAATAAGAAAAAGAAACAACAATGTTAAAGTATCCTAAAGACATCCGATATAAAAATAAGACTATCCTCCGTCACACATGGTTCAATAATAGAATACTGACAATTGGACAATTTCTTAATAAAAATGGTTATCTGGTGACCTACAAAGACTTTCTGGATGAATCCAAAAGACCTGTAAATCCAAAAGTGTGTGCCATTGTTTTCGATGCTATACCAGAAAGTGTCTTTATATGTCTATGACCTGTTAATTTTGAAGACTGTGTGGAAAATATGTGTATTGTTGAAACTAATAAGCCTGTATTAAAAGAGACGTGCTCAAACAAATATAATAAAAACACAATAACTTGTGTTTCTGTCACTTCTATGTGTTTTTGTTCTTCTTTATTTAATGATACACAGTGTGAGAAGCATGGAAGATTTATGATATATAAAACTATTTTAATATCTCTTTGATATTTAACGAATTATCTTTGAAGATGATACATAGAATTTAACCTGTAAAGCTTGTGTTGAAAAGATTCAAGCTGAATATGGATAAGTATTTCTTATATATATTTGTTCAACTGTACATACACCAGAATGTTTTAGATTAATGTTGCCAATTTCCTTAAAAAAATGAAGACAAATGTTGATGTTTCCTATATTTTGGTCAAATTGAGATTGGCGACAGTATGTGGGTTTTTTTGGTTGGTTTTGAAAATTTCTTAAGAAAAATGGTCAGAAACCAAACTGACTTTCCAAGAACAAAAATCTATTAAGACCTTTAATTTATTATTATTTCTTAATATGATGCATAAAACAAACTCTGGCATTATAAAATGAACATTTAATTATTATGCCGTCTATTTTTTTGTTGGTTTTTGTCTTTTAATTTTTTTATTTATTTATTGTTTTCAATGTATCTGTTTTTCTGAAAACAGAATTTGAATTTGAATTTGAATTTGAATGAATTTGTGTACAATAAAGAAAGTGAAAAAAAAAACAAATTTATGTAGCGCTGTCATACAATGTCAGTGAATGATCTAATATCGTAAATATTTCATCTGCACGGTAATTCGTGAGGTAATGATTGGACTCCATGTCCCATAGTTCCGTGCTGACCCTTTTCTACTACTTCCTCCTGTCTTGCGCAAGCTCACATCGTAGTAGAATGCGGATTTCGAAGCTAGTAAGAATAGCTAGCCAGTAAGCTAAAAACAAGCTTCGTGTTGTTAGGCTTCAAACGGGTAAAATGTCTAAAACGCACTCTCAGCCCCCGCCATCTTCGGCAGCGACGACCACCGGGGGACCCTCCTCGTCCTCTTCGTCTTCGCCCGCAGGGGGCTCGACATCTCCCGCAACCGTGTTGAACGTGCAGCCCGAGAAACCTCAACATTACACGTACGTAGCCAGTTAGCAGGATTAGCTATGTAAGTGTACACACAACCTCACGTGTAGCTGCATATACAAGACTACAGCTAAATTGTATTTGAAAAAAATGAGTGAGTGATAGACCTAATATTCTTTAAAATGACTGAACCAAGTCTATTAAGCGATAATGTGCTTGAGAACCGGAGCAGGTCTCGATAAGGAGGCCTAACGGTGCTTACTAACAGTAGCCATATCAGCACAAGCTTTGTGGCACAGACAATTAAAGTTCTGTATCCATGAATAAGTCTCACTGCTGTATAAGCTTAATGTTAGCTTAGTCACATTATACATTTACCTTTAGGAAGGAGAAGCTTGTCACAGTAGGAGAGAAAAAGATAGGTACAGACAGATGGGGATCCCTTGAAAAATAATCACTACACATAAGAATATTGAATGCACAGCTAATAAATGTGAATACAGTCTTGCTTGTTTCAGAAACTGTAAAATGCAGTAACACTTCCTGGAAAGATATTTCTTGTTGCCTCTCTCCTCCCCAGATATCTGAAGGAGTTCAGAACTGAGCAGTGCCCCCTGTTCGTACAGCATAAATGTACACAACACAGGCCTTTTTCCTGTTTCCACTGGCACTTCCTGAACCAGCGGCGCCGCAGACCCATCCGCAGACGGGACGGGACCTTTAACTACAGTCCAGATGTTTACTGTACCAAATATGATGAGGGAACAGGCACCTGCCCTGATGGAGATGAGTGAGTGCAACTGAGATTTCAGTTTTTCACAAGACTGCTTCACATCATGTTGGCATCACGAGCCCTTCAGTAGAGTTACATGTAGCAGAAACATCAGGACTTGTTTGAAGGGGAAGTGTTATTGTTGTTTTTAACACAGAATTGCATAACCTACCTACACTGTATCTGGGAAGAATATGATGGTGACTAGGTATGAGATTTTCACGGTACGATAGCCACCTCAGAAAATACCGCAATTCATGGTATTACAGAATTTATATTATCTGTCAGTATGATCCTTAAAAGACTTGAAAACAGAAGAGTTATCTTTGGTTGAACGAATGATTTATTGCTGTAACTGAAATTTGAACTCTTTTTGCTAATGGAGTCATACATAAAATGTCTTCACTTTAAAAAATAATTAAAATAAAAGGAAGAATCTCCATACAGTTGCATTTTGAAACTGCGCCTTGCACCTTGAAAGTGGTATATCGCTACAGCCCACATGGTGACTCATTGTGAAACGTCTGCACATCATCTCACTTTTTATTGTGCATGAAATTCTTGGCCCTTTGTTAGAAACCCCACAGACCTAGGTCTGTTGG